CATGTATTAAGTCCATTTAGGAGAAGGGTAAGAAAGTAAGCTTTAATTTTTCATCTCGGCAACATTCAGCTGAATGTGATTTTTTGGGGGACGAGATCTTCATAATATACATGCTAATTTGTGTCCGGTGCATTAAATTAATGGTCCAATCAACGCATGTCTTGCAGTAGTAGTCTGTACAACAGTACATGATGTGAATCTGTATTTTAAAAGCTGAAAAAGCGCCACAGACAGAAGATGGACCTATGTTGAATACGAAATTACTTCTGTATTCAATGCCTTCAGACAAATTTCAAGAATAAAGCTTTGCAGCAGCAGTTTGTACAGTCATTTATAGTTTAAACATGTACTTAAATAAATTGTAAAACCAACATACACCCCAAACCTTGGTATTTTTTTTTAAATGTTTTATTTCATACAACATCTTTATATTGAACATTTTACAATATCCAACATAGAAAGAACTCCAACAAAAAAGTAAAATTAAAATTAAAAATACTCACGGTATTGTATTATGAAATAGAACAGAAAAGTCACTTTGGTTTTTATTTACATTACCCCCCCCCCCCTTTTAGGATCTTAAAAATCATGTATACCTATACTTTATGTCACCAAAATCTTAATGTATCATTATATTTTGTTTCGGTTTTGTCTTTAACCATGCTGTCCCTACATTCCACTCTAATCACACTATTTATCTTCAAAAGTAAATTCTATAGTGTTAAAATATCAAATCATTCTTGTTAATGCATTAAATACATTTACAACCAGTCCACACTATAGGAAGGAGAGGGATGGCTTACATGCTCTTAAAGTTTTAAACACTTTTTTGAAAACAATCCCTAAGCCTGGGTGTGCATATAGACTTTAAGGGGGTGGAGGGGGGTGGGGGTGGTCCTGACCACAAGCACTTGTGAAGGCATTTCAACTATACTTTTCAAGTGCAGAATTAAATCTGTGCAGTTGTATTAGAATTTTAAAAATAACTCGTTTAGTTCATAAAAAATAACTATCAAAATGATTTCAGATATAAAGTCGTAATGGATTTAATGAGACCACATTTTGGTAACCCACACCACGTGACCATTGCCAGCTGGTTTACCAGTCCCAAACTTCTGCATGATTTAAGGGAAAGGGGAGTTTTTGGCACAGGTACAGTTATTACTTCGAGGAAGGGAATGCCAGTTAGTTTTAAAGCTACCCGCTTGCCCAAGGGAGACATGATTTTGAAGTCGCAAGGTCCTTTGATGGCAGTTCTGTACAGTGATCGGCGACAGGTGACTCTCCTCAGCACTACAGGAAGTTCCAGGTAGGTTTATCACATAATAATATTATAATATTCTAAAATTGTTGACTGCATTTAATGATGTGACATTTCATATTTAGAATGATGCGAAAAGCTAACACGAAAGGAAACATAGGTAATCAAAGATTACGAAGCTCACCTCGACGAAGGCTATCTATAAGAAAGGCAAATCTCACATCATATTTTTTATAGTTAGTGTTCATCCCAAGATCAATATCCATACAAGTTTGGTTTAAGAAGGACTTATAGATACTTGGAAATAGACCTGCTCAAAAAACTTCTAACCTGTTTACTAATCAAGAAAATTTTGGACAGTTCCAACATCCAAAGCAAGTCTGGAAGTTTTCATCCTTAGATGTACCATCCAAGCTGTTTAATCATAACATGCCATAATATTATATAGCTACTCCAAAAACATTACTCTGGTCACCCAATTTTCTAATGGAAAATGTAGGTCAGATTCAGAATCCAAAACAAGTCTGAAAGTGTCCATCCTAAGATACATCATCCATGCTAATTTGATTAAAATATGGCTAAAATTCACTCATCTGAAAAATCTAGGTCAGATTCAGCATCCGAAGCAAGTGTGGTAGTGTCCATCCCTAGATGCATCATCCATGCAAGTTTGGTCCAGGTAGGGCTTATAGTTACTTGGGAATAGACCTGCTCCAAATATAGGTCAGATCCAGCATCCGAAGCAAGTGTGGTAGTGTCCATCTCTAGATGCATCATCCATGCAACTTTGGTTCAGGTAGGGCTTATAGTAACTTGGGAATGGACTTGCTCCAAAAACTTTAACCTGGTCTATCATCTGGAAAATCTAGGTCAGATCCAGCATCTGAAGCAAGTGTGGTAGTGTCCATCCCTAGATGCATCATCCATGCAAGTTTGGTTCAGGTAAGGCTTATAGTTCCTTGGGAATGGACCTGCTCCAAAAACTTTAACCTGGTCACTCATCTGGAAAATCTAGGTCAGATCCAGCATCTGAAGCAAGTGTGGTAGTGTCCATCCCTAGATGCATCATCCATGCAAGTTTGGTTCAGGAAGGGCTTATAGTTCCTTGGGAATGGACCTGCTCCAAAAACTTTAACCTGGTCACTCATCTGGTAAATCTAGGTCAGATCCAGCATCTGAAGCAAGTGTGGTAGTGTCCATCTCTAGATGCATCATCCATGCAAGTTTGGTTCAGGCAGGGCTTATAGTTACTTGGGAATGGACTTGCTCCAAAAACTTTAACCTGGTCACTCATCTGGAAAATCTAGTTCAGATCCAGCATCTGAAGCAAGTGTGGTTGTGTCCATCCCTAGATGCATCATCCATGCAAGTTTGGTTCAGGTAGGGCTTATAGTTACTTGGGAATGGACCTGCTCCAAAAACTTTAACCTGGTCACTCATCTGGAAAATCTAGGTCAGATCCAGCATCTGAAGCAAGTGTGGTAGTGTCCATCTCTAGATGCATCATCCATGCAAGTTTGGTTCAGGTAGGGCTTATAGTTACTTGGGAATGGACCTGCTCCAAAAACTTTAACCTGGTCACTCATCTGGAAAATCTAGGTCAGATCCAGCATCTGAAGCAAGTGTGGTTGTGTCCATCCCTAGATGCATCATCCATGTAAGTTTGGTTCAGGTAGGGCTTGTAGTTACTTGGGAATGGACCTGCTCCAAAAACTTTAACCTGGTCACACATCTGGAAAATCTAGGTCAGATCCAGCATCCGAAGCAAGTGTGGTAGTGTCCATCCCTAGATGCATCATCCATGCAAGTTTGGTCCAGGTAGGGCTTGTAGTTACTTGGGAATGGACTTGCTCCTAAAACTTTAACCTGGGACGCCGACGCTAACGCCGACGCCGACGCCAACGCCGGGGGTATAGCATAAGCTCATCTCGACTTCGTCGAGGTGAGCTAAAAATTGTTAAAGCACCAGGAGTTGTGCACAAGTATAACGAAACAATGGGTGGAGTAGATCTAGGTGATCAGCTTCTTACACAGTATGAACCCCAGTTTCGTAGTCTCAAACTATGGAAGAAAATTCTATTCAGCTTCTTAATGATGGCTGCAGGTAATACATATTTTGCAACATTTCTTGACTTTAAATTACTTCTCGCAAATATATATAGGACTCAAAAATACATGCATGTGCAACATGTATTAATGCTATTATGCATTATTTAACAAACCGGTATCTTTTTCAGTCAATGCCTACATCTGTTACAAGTCCTCCTTCGTGATATAGAAGAAAATCGACCACTTACAATTTCAGAAAGAGATAATAAAGAGACTTTTGGGAAATTTTAGGGAAGGAAGATCAAGACGACTTGGTGTACTGAGATGTGCTAGATTGTCTGCCAAACATTTCATAGACTGGATCCCTGAAAAGAAGCGAATGAAATGTGCTGTTTGTTCAGGAAAAAGAGGGAACTTTGCCGGAACAAGGATCCGTACTGACAGTTCATTGGCGTAATTTGTGAAAGCTCATCAGAAAAATAATGTAGATATAAGAAATGAATCTAACGCGCCTCATGATATATACCGGTGTGAAGCGTCGTAGTTCATGTCCTCATGAATCTTCAAAAATTAAATTCATTTCTAAATTATACTTTCATGTTCATTAGTCGAATCTGATCGGTTGGAAGGCGTTTGTTACACTACTGCGTGCATAAACCACGCCCTCCACAGGCAGACAATTCATTACAAAAAACGCCACTTCACTACTCGATACAAGGAATACCCTATTACTTTAAAACGGCTTATTCTTCACTATTTTTCTTACTTAAATTGCAGTTGTCGGGATTTCTCTGGTACTATATAATTTTTATAAATTTAGCAAACTACATAATTATATAATAAATGTACTGGAATTTTATTCCAGATATTCTTTTTCGTCACATTTATTTGAAAGTAACTTTTATTTTGAAACAAATTTTTATGCAAGCAAATTTTATCGCACTTGCAAGATTTTACAATCAGCTTTAGTAGTTTTAGTCTTTTATAAAACGGGATTAAGAATTTTTAAATTCCTTTTTGTTAAATTATTTGTGGAATGAATAATTTCAATTTTAAAATGATCTATGTATGAGGATCAGGTTCCAAAATTCAGGAAGGGGTGTTCAAATCCGGATTTGTTCCTGATAAAAAGAATTTATTCACGAACATTATAATAATTGTCTGTTACGTTTAGGTATTTGGGTACGCAGAACGTACAGACTACTGTGACGTACTAGTGACGTCATAACGTAATTCTATTATAAATGGCACTAAGTAAAAATGTGTGTGGGGTGGGGTGGGGGTATAAATGCTAGACAATGGTCTATAATCAGCTTATTGCTCACTAGAGAAGATAGTCTCTGACTGTCAATCACTATACAAACAGAATCTTGCAGAAACTGCTATGGCCTCCTCATATATTTTACATGAAAAATTAATAAATTGAAAGTGTCATTAAAGTGCTTTCTTAAAAAAAAAAAAAAATGATAGTATTCTAAAAATTTCAAGGGTTTGTCTACATTTTCAATTCTGCAGAGACCAATATATCCTGACTTTTCAGATATTGCCTTCTTAAATTTTCTTACTAATCATCTCTTACAAACATAATTTATTTCAGTCTCTAAACTCTTCAAAAACTTTTTACATACTGAAATCTGTGCACAATTTTATGCAGATGTTAAAAGGAAAAAAAGAAAAAAAAAACCTTGAGCACGACCATAATAAGTTTATTACTCAGGAAATTCACAAATGGATGCAATAATTTTGACTGTAATAAAAACAAACATACTATAAAATTTCAATGTATATGATACATGAAAACTATATGAAATCGACTAACATTTTCTCTGCCTTATTTATCAGTCTCAAAACCCCCAAGCTCACTAGGAGTGAAACCCTGGGTAGTCTCATCAACGTCCAGTTTTGGTCTTTTTTCAGGCTGGCCCTCTATACTGGTATCAAGAGTGCTGGAATTTCTCTTGTTACTAAGATTTTCTTTGAAGTTGACTATAATGCAAGTCATATTGTCACATCCTGTGCCATCACCATATGTGTTGGGAGCAAGACAATAGTCAAATAGCTGCAAATTAAAACAGTCTATGATAAGTCATTAGGTAATGGCAACATGTACATAAGCAAACAAAACAAGAAACTCCAGAAAAGTGAATGTCTTCAAAACAAGTGAGAATTGTGCAACAAGCACTTATACAAACCTCTTCACATATTCTGGACAGGTTGCCTTGGAATTCAGGTTTATTTAATCTTTGTCTGACAAAATCTACCACTTCTTGGCTTGTCATATAATTCCTAAAATAAATTTCAATTTTTCTAGATTGCATAAAATTTCATCTTTCCTGCTACTTACTACAGCTTATTTAGAATACAATAAATCTATTGAGATGCCAACAAGTATTCTAGAGTTATATTTCTTAGTTAATACTGGTACAAGGAAGTAAAATGAAGCATCATTCAGTTATCATTAATAACTTCCTGCTGAAAATAATTGACATGAATTTCATTGTTTTTAAAACATGAAATATAAGCTATTCAAACATCACTTTTCAAAAAGTAATACTTTATAAAACAGTATGGTACATTGACTAGTATTTAAATTGGTTTGTTGGCATTGTTTTTATTGAGAAGGGACACAAATTGTGTCATTTTGCTTATTATCAAGAGTTAAACCTACACTATTTCAGGAGACTTTCACACAAGTTCTATCTTTTCTTGCCTAGTGGTTCTTAAGGAGGCTGGGGGGTCAACAAATTAACCATCAGATATAACATATTTTTTTAGATATGATATCTTAAGCTGTCAACTATCATTTGGCAAACAAATATTTCATACATTTTAGTTTTAAAATTTGATCATTTTTGTATATCTTTATATGGAGCTCTTCTTCTAAAGGAGATTAATATAGTCTGAAAATGGCCACAACCACCCAGCCCTCTTAAGAAAATTTTTGAAAACTCCCACCCTATTTTGTCTTTTCTTGATTATCTACCCCTTTCAAAGCATGAATGCATTCAAACAGAATGATTTCCCCATTTCTTATTTATAACAAAAAATTTTCATGTAACAATCATTTGTAGATGAGTTAGTCTTTACTGCATATAATCTTATGAAAAACTCAAATAATGACAGAACATCAAACCATACCAGTCACTTATTTTCAAACACATGGGTCCTCAGAAAGGCGTTTACTTAAAGTCTTGTCAAATCTGCTGCATTTTATTTTTCTTTATTATATCTTTTTATGTGTGCAAGATTGGGGGGGGGGGGGGATGTAGCTCACCAGATTCCATCACAAGCCAGCACCATGAAGTCATCCTCCTCCTGTATTGTTTCAATCATTATTTCAGGGAGGGCAGTGATCATCTGTTCCTTATCACTCTTCTCTTTATTTCTTTTGTAGAAATGGTCACCTACACAGTAACAACATTATCAATAAATGATATATGTACAAGAGAAACTGAGCTGAGTATTTAAATCATACTTGCATCTCAGTTATGACTGGACCTATCTTAAAAAATTCTCTCTCATACAAACATTTAATCAAGACCTTCTCTCCTCCTCTACCCTCTCTCCATCAAATAGTTACCTTACATTATGCACACTTCTGCTGTAGATAAATGAGGCATAAAGAAAAATCTTACCCAGTGCTCTGGAAAGATTTAGACCACCATTGATTCGCCCATCCACTGTTATTTTGCCCCCTGCTGCCTCTATCCTTTCCCGTTCTGAAGCATCCTCTGGTTTGTGGTCTACTGACAAATCCAGAGCCTTACCGCCACGACAGAGCACACATCTGGAATCTCCAACATTAGCCACAACTATCTCTTTGTCTCGTATAAGGGCTAAAATGGCAGTGCAACCACTTTCCTGACCAGGCTGTAAACATTTTGTCAGCAATATTAAAATCTAGAACCTTTGTTCTGTACTTCTGATCTGGGGCTATAGAAAGGACATTTATGTGAATTTTAGCAGCAAAAAATGGTTGTGCAGCTACTCAAGAAAATATCATGAATTTTAATTTTGTGTCCATTATTTATGTGAACACCTAAAAATACCCATAATAAAGCATAATTCTCTATTTACAGCATATATTTATGTAACATTTACTACAGACTATCATCAAAATCATTTATACAGAAGGCCTAAGGACCACAATTCTTACCTAGCAAGCTAAATCTATATACAATGTAAATATAACTGTCAACAAATTAAGTCAATGGCAATTACATACTGCAAAAGTAGAAATATTTCTCGGGGATTAATTTCCATTTATTTTGATGTTAAGGATGAAATTAAACCCAAAATTTTTATTTGGCTATATACTGAAAATGGTTACTTTGCAAACAACAAATTAAATCTCCATGAAACCATATTAAAACACAAACCTATGAAATTTTATCACAACGAAAATGTAACATAACAAACTCAGACAGATAAAAATTGTAGGAAAGTGACTTGAATAGCAGAGTCAACTTACTTCTTGGGTTGAATCCTCTGAAAAAAGGCCCCATCCTCCTGACTCCTCTTCTTCTTCTTCAGATTCTTCCTCCTCATCATCATCTTCTTCCTCACTAAAACCATACAGATTGTTTGGAGATGAAATAGGAAACTGTCTAAGTATTACTACTTCTCATAACTACATTTTACCAAAGGACCTATTCTTTTTCTTGCAGTATAATTTCCTGATTTTTAAAAATCAATTTTAATACAATTGATTTAAATTCGTTTCAGAAAAAAAGGTATGTATAATAGTGGTATATAAAAATAAGAAACTTCAGAAAAGATGGTTTTCTGTAAGATGCTAATATTTTTTTAATTCTGATTGATTTTCGTTTTTTTGTGAAACTTGTCTAATCAGGATGTTCTTGCCTAATACAAGTCCCTTTCAGTAAATTCAGCTGTTCAAAATTTTATATAATCTGAAATGTTGTCTAATCTGACCAATTTCTATGGAACCAGTTATGTCCAGATTAGACCAGTTTTACTATCATTAGAATGTAGACTCTAAGCACTCTAATTTAAGCACACCAAATAAACATTTCTAGGCATTAGTCAAGTTTGATTTATAGTGCCTGAATGCTGACACTGATGGTATTACATGTACATAAGCCCCCCCCCCCCCCCCCACTTTTTCTGAGTTGAGCTAAAAGTCAATGCTTTGTTATGATTAAAATAACAATATGTACTCTTCTTTATTTTTCTCTGAAATGAACAAAGCATATATGTGAAGTATTTGTTAAATGATAAAAATTGAGAAATCAATTCATAGGATTTCACCTTTATTAAACTTGTTAATCAAACCACATTCATTGAAATCTAGCAATCAGTGAGCAGAACAGGTACTTTCAATATTGTTTCTCTTTCTATAAAACATTACACACACTCAAATCTAATTAGAAATATTGGACATCTTAATGAGTCACACTAAATTGTGATTACTAAAACATTTCACTTCATAATGACCAGTATTAAAGCAAAAACTGTATTTGGGGTTTTCAAGTAAAAGTTGTTGATGAGAAATTATTCCTGGAATTTACCTGGAATTCTTAATGGTCCACTTAAACTGACAAGCCACAAATTTTATTAGTCCAAATTAAAATTACTCGGAGTCTAACACGCTACCATTGGTATCAAACCCTGATAAACTAGAACCAGACTGTTTACCTGTCAAATTCTACTTCCTCATCTTCCTCTTCCTCACTGTCAAACTCCTCCTCCAACTGCTTCTCAATACCCTCCTCCTCCTCCTCTTCTTGATCTTCATCTTCATTACCATCTTCTTCCTTCTTTGACTCTTCCAGAAAGAAAGAAGGCTTTGCCTGCAATAAATAGTCATTTAAAAAATGTAAATTTATGTGAAAAGTAAATGTGTGTTCTACCCAGGTTAGAGCAAAATATCATATATATATATATGTATACAAAATGAAATATAATCATTTTGTCTTCTTCAATGGTCATTTGTATTAAAATAAATCTTCATTACATTATGAAAAAAATGTTTTCCCAATCTTTCATTTCATTCAAAGCAGAATTTAAATATGTTGGTAGCAGTTTATTTATGATGGGAAATTAATGATTTTTACAATTTTATGGAATTCTCATTTCTAAGAGACTTCTATGTGTTAGGCCAAAAAAAATAATAGTCTTGTTTCCTGCTACCAGCCTGAAAAAAATAAGGCCAAATAAAAAAATATGTGTGGTTCCGGTAACCCGACCGTCCCTATTTTATACCCCCAACCCTAAACTTTTTTTTGGCAATTTTCATATTTTTACCAGAATTTTCCCCAATTTCCATCAATGGCTCCGGTTTAAGTTTTAGTTTCAGCAATGACGGCCCCCTTGCACAACATAGTGCAAGTGTTTATTAGTGTTAAATCCAAAGCAAGCTTGCAAGTAGGTGTCCCCTACCAATATTGACTAGAATATTATCACACCACATCTAAATGTCATTTGCAAAGTAGTGATAAGTATTATTTACAATAGAAAAATTAAGAAAATCATTTTGTTTTTAAAAAAAAAAAAAAAAAAAAAAAAAAAAATCCCTACCTACCTACCCTAATATTTTTGGAGGTGTAACCGGAACCACACATATTTTTTTGTTTGGCCTAGGGTAGGTAGGTAGGAAAATTATTTTATTTTATATTTTTATTTTATTTTTTTTCCGACAGCATTTTTTGGATATGAACTAATACAAGATAAAATTAAACATGTCACAGGTCAACATTGTCTTTTAAAATTGAATTTCATGTCTTTTATGCACAACTCAAGTGGTATTTTATGAAAGTCCATATTTAAAACAAGAATTTCATGAAATGCTTGTTTTGTGTTAACACGGAAACCGGTTACAGTGACAGAACGATGAAATTCTGGAAATTCCCGATTTTTTTTTCTCCCAAAACTTGAAAAAAACTTTAGGGTCGGGTGCAAAAAAATAGGGTAGGTCGGGTAGCAGGAAACAAGACTATTATTTTTTTTGGCCTTACATATTTCACAAAAGATTATTCATAAAGTGTTTCTAGATCATGATTCTTTTTTGCATGACTAACTTTGGGCTTTCTGACAATAGAGAACTCTGTTACCTTTATTAAACTAGAGTATCTGAGCAGTGTGTCACCTGCAAGTAATCTTTCGGATGAACATGCCACACCTCTGAGACAAATGGAGGGACTGAATACAGCCAATGTTCCCTAGATATTTGCAATGTTCTACAAGAGATACAAATTATACTTACGTCTGTTACTGAGGTATCCATGGATGTAGAAGAACTTGTTTTTTCTGCTGATTTGTTGGATGATTTCCCTTTTCCCTTTCCTTTTCCCTTCCCTTTCCCTGGACTGGAATTGGATTTTACAGACTCCTCCATTTCTACAGATTTTTCTGTTGCATCAGAGGTGTTCACTACTTTATCAGAACAATCAGATATATTGACACTCTCTGACTGGCTGTTTGAATTACTGTCAGGATTTAAGGTTTCAGATGAATGTGATGAGGATGAGGATACACTGTCTACCACTGAAGGTTCTTGCTTAATGTCACTACTGTCCGATTTTGACCCTGCTGATTCTTCAGACTTAGAGGGTCCATCTGAACTAGAAGATACACACTGCTGAAAACTAGATGAAGAACCTACAGTACTATCTACTGGGTTTTTAACATCCAATTTGAGGTCCTCACTTTCACATTCATTTTGATCATTCAACATTTGATTACTTTCATTTTGCTCTTTCTCCCTGTTTAAATTGTTTTCATTCTCTGCATGTCCATTGGCCAGCTTATCTCTTGTCCAGGAAGTTTCTGAATCAGCAGAGCTGCCTGCTTCTTCTGTTTCTACTGCACACATTGCCGTAAATTTAGACTCCTTCTTCCCTTTTAACATGGGAGAATTTACTTTTGCACTTCCACGATTTCTCTTTAGTAATCTGGGCTGTGGAAGTCCTTCATACTTTGCTAATAAATCTTCCAAAGGCATGTCAGCCTCTGTTCGCAAAAGATCTGCTTCCGATTTCATTTTCCTTTTAGCTTTTAGGAAGAAAATAATGTACATATATACAAGTTGAATAAACTTATAAATACTAAATAATCTCCTTAAATTAATAAATACCTAATAGCATAGTTTTCATTTTAACCTGCAACTTATTTGGTATTCTTTATGTTTCAATTCCAGTAATCAGACATGAAATTCTTTTGCAGTCTTTATTTACAAGAGAAAGTGAAATATCAACAAGTGAAATTTAGTGCTAGCTAAATAACTTAAATTATACATTATCCCCCAGATGACTGACTTCCCAAGATAAAAGTTTGAAATGTGGATCCTGCATGTAAAATATTAATGAAAAAATATAATAATTTAATCAATGAATCTTGCAAACCTTGTAACATTATTATTAATAATCAAATTATTTTTTTAAAACACTTGTACTAAGCATTTCTTGGTTTCTTAGTTAAATATCGTTTATGTGTGATTAAAAACCTCCAATGTCTTGACAAATTTCTCAAAGAATGGGTGAAAATAAGATCTTAATTTCATTATTTATGCATGTTGCATGATGCACTCATTATAGTGAATTCTTTTCTATGAACTTTCATCAACTTTATTACATTAAAACTATGCCCTTGAGTGTCATATAGTTGAGTGTTATATTTTGAGCTGTGGACATCGGCCTGAATAGCTCAGTTGGTAGAGCACTTGACTAGTGATGCAGAGGTCCCAGGTTTGATTCCTGGTCCAGCCATACATTTTCTCTTTTCCTGTTACATGAGTGTCAATGAGTGACCTAGCTACTTCAAATGTTGACAAGTAAAAAGAAGGGATGACTAAGATATCTTAATTAAATATGGATGGGCTCAAAGACAAAAAGACAGGCAAGACATTGCCATTACACCAATTTTCAGACAGATAAAGTTAAATCTATAGTCCAAAATTTTAATGCTATTTTTGTTAAATGTATGAGTTATTGACATTTTCGAAAAGCATTAAAATTTTAGCCAGATCAAACAACACAGTGAGAGATTTGGACCTACACTGTTTAAAAGTATTGGAAGTTTCACCTTCTTCATCCTCCTCTTCGTCTATTCCAGCTAAAATTCTCATCTCATCCAAGGCTTCCTTTTCTAGCAATTTCTGGTCAAATCCAAGAAATGCACTTTCTAGTGCCTCCTTCAGTTTGCCTTCTTTGAAAAGGGGATGTTGCTTGATGTAATCAGGAAAATGAAGTGACGAGTACTGGGCAACTTCAGATCCTGTTTTAATAAATAATAAAAGATGTAAATTTAATATAAACTTAATACAAACCTTGGAAGTGTTTGCAGCATGTTCAGGTGGATAATATATCATAAAAAACAACAGTAATTAATTTATGCTAAATTATAGAATTCTAGCTTACCTCCATGTCCATCATAAACAGCAAAGAGAGCAGTATCTTCATCCAAGTCATCAATGCAGTTGTGTGAATCCTTAAATAGAAAATGACAAGTTCTTTTGAAAATTGGATTTTGTTCCTTGAGAAACATAAACAAATTCTTACAAAATCAAAAGCCATGAACCTGATAACTTTCAACCACTAGTTGCACAACAGTCAGTTTTAATCAATTAACAAAACTCTCATACACAATAAACGAATACCCAGTTAGCTAACCTCTTGTGAAACTCTCCATCCTTGCATAGAGGAAGCACCGTAGCAAAACCTTTTGGAGATTTTGTCAATGGATATTTTTTCAGTATTTGGAGTGGACAGATAAGCTCCCATCTTTTACAATCTCCTCGTATCAGATATTCTATAATATATCCGTGTCATTCGTAAATATATTCAGATATCATCAAAGCACTGAAAACAAATGTATCATGATCATCCTGCATGTGTACACATTTTCGCGGCGTGCAGGACAGACCACGTGATTTCTGAATGTTAATAAACAACGTTTCAAAAAAAAATTTCATTAAGTTATGTGAATTATGCTGATGTTCATAGTTTTTCTTACCATTGGGGATATAATCTTTTACTTTATTTTTTTTATTTTAAGTATTTCGATAAAAAAAAAAATCAAATGGCGTACTTGATTACCATGATGGTCATGATCAACAGACAATAAAGCACGAGCCACCCGAGGAGCTTCGAGTGGACAACGACAGTTACTGCATAAAGTGAAGGGCCGCCGCTGCGACATTTTCTGCAGTTCCCAACCGATAAGATTAATCAAAATATGCAGTTTCTCAACGATTTAATATTTTAATTTTTGATAGTCAATGAAATAACTTTTGCTATAAGTACATTTTTTTTTTAAAGTTCATTAATAAATATTCATAAGCAAGAAATTTTCATTGGTATAGCAAATGTTGGATTCCTCATATTAATGAATTATATATTTCAGCAAATCGTACATATATTTTACTACATATTTATTAAATGATGTTATGAATTAGTCCAGTCAAAAGAAAGAAATAAAGCTTGTTAAACAAGATTATTAAAAAATTTGTAAAAGATGAAAAATTGTATTAATTATCGATTTTAATTCTCTATTTCTTATCGGTAAACAGGATTTATATTAATCTATTACCCCTTGAAAGGATTTTTTTTTTTTTTTTTTTTTTAATATTTTCTCCGCGGAATAGTTCCCTTAAAAACTATGAAAATAAATCGTTTTGAGGGATGATAGATTTATTAAAGGAAATGATAAATTGTCATCTTTATCAATAATTACAGAAGTTAATAACGATTTTAATTTCAAATTTTCACCGTTTAAAACTTATACGAGAATCTTGTACAACGAGCGTTAACAGAGGTGTTAGTAGCGCCTCTGGATAGAGAATTCATTTAGGAGGTGTTCAGTAGTGTTATGGGAATCAAGTACGCTAGAAGTAAGTTGTACCAATATTCATTACATTGACAATATAGTAGCATAATCTTTTCATGTATGAGTGGTTCATGACACATTTTATTGTTAGAAACGAACTTCTACTAAGATTTTTTGTATTATATTTTTCACAATTATTAAAGTTAGAAGCTTAAAATTATAAACGAACATAGCATTGCACAAGCTACTTGTATTCATTTTTATTTGCTGCGGAATAGTTTCACTAGCTTGTATCCGGTTAACTTGGAAGGAAGACATTATCACATATTTTGCATATTTTCATGTTTAACGCATCATAGGAATGGCAGAACCAGACGAAGGTAGTAAAAGTAAAGCAGACAGTGAATCTGAGGATGAAAGTGAAGTTTTAGAGGAAAGTCCTTGTGGAAGATGGCAGAAGAGACGAGAAGAGGTGAGAAATGTTTTGATGTAGGCCTAGCCAATAGGCAAGAGAAAAGGATGTTGGATTTTGTCATTTATTCATTACACGATATATTTGTTTAACTGCTGTTGAAAAGTAAACGTGTTAATGATGTATCACTAGTTTGTTCTTTTTAAAAGCATGCCTTTCATAACTGCTTGTCAGACTTGTTAAATAGATTGAGACTGAATGCCTGAATGGGGTATAGTAGCCATATCATATGCCAGAGGCAACATTTCTATGAAAAGGATGTCCAAAGCGAAAAGTTGAAGCAGGGAATTCAATAATCTCAGTGAGATTCGTCGAGACTAAAAATTTTGTACAGATGTCTCTTCTGAATCTCAGACACACAAAGTGATTCGGGAAATCTTGTACGGACTTCGACCACTTGTTTCGATCAATGTGGGCTGAAAGGAATTCCCTTCCTGCTTCACCTTTTTGGCTTTGGACATCCTTCTAACTCCCTATCACTATGAAACCCGTGTTTCTTACCTTTAAAAGATTTAAAACTTTAAATCCAACCAAAATCAAGTTGTTGATTTTTTCATAGCATTGATATATTCATTTAAACCTCCGATGCCAAAGAGTTCCAGCAATAGTCTACTTCAAAACTTCATTCTACTATGATTTCCTATAGAAATGAACCATAGTACGAAGTATTTGAAAATCCAAAATTTTTAGTCTCGACAATTCTTGCTGAGATTAGGAATTCATTTCAACCTGTTTTGATCTTAACAAGCAGTTGAAGTTGGTGCAAGATTAATTTCCCTAATCACTTTGTGTGGCACTGGTCTGAGATTCAAAAGAGATGTCATGACGAAATTTTTAGTCTTGACGAATTTTGCTGAGATTACTGGATATCCATTTACTTATAACTCATATCCACCTCTTCATTTGGAACAATTAGACTGTGACACATGACATCTTATGTTAGTTGCATTTCCATAATGAAGTCTGAAAAGTGCAAATTTTTAACAAAGAATGTTTAATAAGAGCAGAAAATCTCTAATGGACACATACTGAAAACTGTGTGAAATTTATAGAACATGTTGGCAATTTAACAAGTTTGACTCTACTAAATGTCTATATCCTGCATGTAAACAGGTATTATCTTTGATTATTAGCCACATGTATTTGTAAGGGGTGGATATTAATGAGTATTTTATCCTGGTCTAGGCATTCTATTTATCTTGATGATACTTTTAAAATTTGACAAGTATTATTAGTAAATGCATTCTTAACATTAAATGTATACATGTATTTAAAAAAAATACTACATTATATTCTGTAGGTAGAGCAGCGAGATGTGCCTGGTATTGATAATGCATTCCTGGCCATGGACACAGAAGAAGGAGTAGAGGTTGTCTGGAATGAAGTGCAGTTTTCTGGAAATAGAAACTTGAAAGAACAACAGGTAACTAACTTTTAGCAGATAAAGAATTGGAGAAGAAAAATGTTTTTTTTTTTATTTTTTTACTTTTTTAAACTTACTCTTAGATTTGTCAAGATATTTCAAGCTTAACTATTGTCATTCACATACTTTCTGCATTTGGACTAGTGTTAACCTTTTAATTAATAATTGTTATCAGGGCCATAGTAATGATGACAAATTTAGCTCAGCCTTTTTCCGTAATACTGTTACACTAAATAATTTGATTTAATAAACCATTAATATTTTGTTGATTTAATCAAAATACCACACAACAGACTGAATGATCTGGAAAACTTGTGTATCATATAAATATTTATTTTTCTGGGCAGTCACCATCCATTGGTTGTCCAGATGCTTTTATCCAGATGAGTGAAATAGGTCATAAGATTGTAAAAATATTGTCATTGAGTTTTTTTTTTTAATTATTGAACTTTTTAATAATTGCATGATGAATCTCTTTTTGATGTCAAGGTTATATACTAAGAAGTTTAAGGTCAAGACAATTTTGTATGCATTATTCTTAGTTAGTTACTAGCATGGCAAACTGTGCATTTCTAAGACATCTTGGTTGGAAAATTAGAATATGTTGATATAGTTTTACATTGGTATATTATGTCAAAAGAATTTGAAATCTGTCACCATTTATCAAATTGTAAAGCTATTGCTGATATATAATGTACACTTTAGTTTGCAGAAAATCATCAAAAATAATTAACTCATATACATCCTAAAAGTGTTAAGATACTAGTGAGTTGTACATAATTAGTAATGCTAATGATCACAATGTACTTTGATAATCATAGTGAAATATTTCATGTAGAATTTTTTTTTTTAATTTCTCACATTGTATTTAAATATATTACGATATATTTTGTACTACGGGAACTTAGTCATCACTTTTAACATTGCTTGCTCTCTATTCCTGCATTTCTCTTGCTGTGCTAAACATTTAGTTTTAAAGATAAACATGATACTGAACTTTGAACTTTGCTTTCTCACAATTGACTTTTCATTGGTTATTTCTCTACTGCATGCACAATTTTCAGACTTCTGACACCGGCCGCCAACGACGCAAATCCGTCATTCAGAACGATTACCTGTTGAACGTATGTTTTCTCAGCTTGTCCACACCAAGCTTTTGCATTACTACTGTGCATCATTTAACAATTCTTTGTCTTAATTTTTACAAACAGTCTTAATATATTTCTATATTTAAAAATGTATTAAATAAAAAAAATAATTATTCCATATTAGTAAGTATTGGTAATTTAATTTTGTTTTGAAGAGGTGACAAATTAAAGTAGATTTATTATTTTGTTAAATGCTTCTGGAAAAATAACCAAATTAATATAGTGAATGCTGTAAACAAATGAAAAAAAAAAACCAAAACATATACTCATTTTATAAAAAAACTTTTTTTCTAATGGACACATACTTACACATTCAAATTTGATATAGATAGTTACTTAACCTTAGATGAATTAGGAGTTAATTAATAATTACAATTCTTTATGGCACATGGTTAATTGCATGTTAGAAGGTCACTCTTTTAAGAGCTGATTAGATATCTTAGATGCATAGGGATCACTTTGTTATCTGACTGTCAGTCTGTCTAATACAAGTCATGTTTCACAGGGTCTGTCTTAATTGATATCTTTAAGGAACTTGATAAAAAGATTGCTTACAATGTCATTGAGAAGCATCTCCAAGGTCATTGTTCAACACTTGATGCAGTTCAAGGTCATTGTTCAACACTTGGTGCAGTTCAAGGTCATTGTTCCAAATGGGAGTTTTACAATTATACAAATGTAATTATAACATATATAAAGTTATGAAAATGTTAGTCTCAGTGTGATATGTGTACTATATAAAAAAAATTATAAGGTCACAATTCTTAATTAAAGTGATTTAAAATTTAATTTCTTGCACTTAAAACCCTGCAGGTGTCACATGTTTCTTGTAATCTTTCCAAATGTAATATGGATAAGAAATTATAAACAACACTTCACTTTATGGCACATGAACTGAATCACTGAAATATCTCACCATTCATTCTATATTGCACAAATTTGATATCCTGAAACACAAATCACAGAACTTTACACATGAGAAAGCAATGCATTGGCTTTCTAAACCTTTTCAAAAGCTTTTACACATGAGATTTACCATATAATCATGCAATGGCAAGTACATGTATTAAGAATGCATATAAATTTAAACATAAACATTTCATTGCATACTGAGATTTTTTTTTTTTTTTTTTTTTTTCATTTTTTTTTTTTTTTTTTTTTTTTTGTGTATATAACATTCACTATATTCCTATCATTTTGAAATAGTTTCTGCTTGTTAGAATTTTGTATTTTCAGGAGTAGTTTTTCAGAGAAAAGGAATGTAAAATTCCATTAAGTTATAAAAACACAATTCAAAATTATTAACGATCAAGATACATGAACCATGTGCTTTTGTCAGTTGTCTATTAGGAATGTGGTGGAATGGTCTGTAGATATAATTGTTCCAAAAGTGGATAGTGTTGGGAAATAAAATGTATTGCAACCAACATAGCTTTATTGAGTTATTAGTACTCACTTGTATAATTCTGAGCCCCTTTTGGTGTGCTATCAGGCCTCATCTTAACATTATAGTACATGTATATATACATTGGTACATGGGTATATTTTGCATCAAGAATGTACTTCAGTACATGTGCATTTGTACAAAATTACAAGTGAGAATAGAAGCTGTATCAAGGTTTGGGAAAGTTAATTAGCACAGTACATGTTCTAATGTTATATGGAAATAATTGTGTCTCTATATCTCCACCTTGCACGTCTCATGAATATGCACTTGACTGTAATTATGTAAATCAGTATGGGATACGAATTTGCATGATAGAATATATGTCAGGGTTGGTCCGTTTGGTATATATAACATAAATATTTTTTCTTTAAATTTTGAATGCTTAAAAAAAATCTTCTTCTTACTGTAAACCAATTGATTTTACTGTTATTTTTAATTTGTAAGGTTCAAGGACACATAATTCAGTGCAGAGGTGAATTTGATTGTATGGACAGCATTATAGATAAAAAAAAAAAAATTAAAATACTGAGTAATTCAAACTTAAAATTGGTTTGCAGGGAAATTTGATAATTGATTTGCTACTTTTTAATATAATACACTCTTATAATCACAGTATAATATTGCAAGTAGAATCCCTTTAATTTATCAGATTGTTTTTAAATATGTAATATTTATATATATTGTTCTGAAGAAATTCAAAAATCACTGATTATATTGCTTGTTCTCTAATTCTGCATTTATCTTGCAGTGGTAAACAAACAGTCTGAAAATAAATTTGACACTGAACTTTGCTTTCTCACAATTGACTCTTCATTTATAATTTCTCTCCTGCATGCACAATTTTCAGACTCTGTATGACAACACCCGTCCCCGACGAAAATCCTCTGTTCAGAATGAATACAGGTCAAACGTATGTTTTCTCAGCTTTATTTCTATACCAAGCTTTTGCATTACTTCTGTGATTCTGAAGCATCAACCTGTTCTTTGTTCTTAAATTTTTTTTGTATATATTGATTTTAAGAAATGTCATTACTTAGGATCAGTTTAAAAATATTCTTTCTTTCTGAATTTCTGAGAAGTTTTAGCTCACCTGAATCAAAGGTTCATTTGAGCTTTTCTGATCACATATAATCTGTCAGTCCTTCTATTAACTCAAATTTCACATTTTCAACTTCTTCTCCAGAACCCCTGTCTTCTTTCAACCAAACTTGCCATAAAGTATCCTTGTGAAAAGAGGATTTAAGTTAGTTCAAATTAAGGCCACGTCCTCTTGAAAGGGATGATAATCAAGAAAAGACAAAGAAAGGTGTATGTCTTTAAAAATCTCCTTAAGAATCAGAGAGCTTGAGAAGATAAAACCTTAGTGAAAAATTCCTGACATAGTGCACATGCAAGTTTGTTAAAATTATGGCACCTTGGGTTAGGTCAGACCACAATGGGGAGATCAAAAATTTACATTGGAATATATAGAAGAAAAAAAAATCTACCAAATCATGATTTTTTTTAGTCATATATTACATGTAATATGCAAGTGTCTTCCTGTAGTACAGATTCATGTTGTTCAATTTTGGGTTGGGCTATAGTAAGGGGTCAAACATTTACAAGGAAATATATAAGAAAAATCTTAAAAAATCTAATGAAGGGGAACAGCAGGGCCATTATTATGCACATTTAATATGTAAGCATCCTTGCCTAGTAAAGATTCAAATTTGTTTAATCGTGGACCATTGGGAGTAGGGAGGGATCACAATAAAGGAATTTATAGGAATTTAAGTTCTGAAAAAACCCTTTCTAGATTAGCACTGATGGCAAAAGTAATATACAAACATTCTAAAGTCAGAGTTTCAGATTACCGTTGTCCATCAGCCATTTGCTGATAAAAATTCAGAAATTCAGCACAGCAAGGTCATATTATCAGTCATATTGATATTGAAACATCCCCATGTTGTTTGGCTTCAAGTTGGTTAAGTCATGACCCTTTTGGATTCAAGAGGGCCACAATGTGGATCAAAATTTTTCATTAGATTATAGAGGGGAAAGAAAATCTTTGAAACAACGGAGCCAAGTTGACCCAGGTGAGCATTGTGGCCATGGGCCTCTATTTAAAATTTGGCACTGATTTTTGAACCTAGCTTTCTCACTATTGACTCTTCATTTGTAATTTCTCTACTGCATGCTCAATTTTCAGACTTCAGACACCAGCATTCCCCGACGAAAATCCTCCATTCCGAATGATTACATGTTTAACGTATGTTTTCTCAGTTTGTCTACACCAAGCGCTTGCATTAGTACTGTGCAGCAGCTAATTGTTCTTTATCCTATTACAAGCAGTCCCCTAACAAAAAATTACCGTAGTAAACTATAGTTTACTATAATATCAAAGTTTTTACTATAGTAAATCATAGTTAATCAAAGTTTTTACTATGAATTTCAAGTTTTTATATTTTATCTTACTTTTCAGTGGGATTTTTTTCTATCAGCAGGAAAATTACTTGTATATTTACATATTATTTCCAAAATTTACATCAATGGAATGAAGTTTTGGATTTATCAAGGTTTAAACTCTTGAAAAAAGTTCTTGAGTCAAGTTCCAAAGTAAATCATAGTATCAAAGAATATACTGTAGTAAACTATAGATAACTGTGGTAGATTATTGTTAGGTGTCATGACAATTTTTTGTCAGTTCTCTGTCAGTTAGGAATGTGGTGGAATGTTCTGTAGATATGAGGCATGGGGTTGATTGTTTCCAATGTGGACATTGTTGGGAAATAAAATGTATTGCAGCCAACATATCTTTATAGAGTTAATAGTTTGAACTGACTATCAAAAAATCGTCAGTGAACTGAGTGAAGACAACACATCTGCAATAATTGATTAATATAAAAAAAAATTAACAGTGATAAATGCTAAATATCCATGTTTTTTTTTTTTTAACCAAACCAGTTTAATTTTTAACACAGTCAAGGGGCATTACTCTATTTTTCATGCAAATGGCAGACAAACTTTTCAACTAAGCATGTTTAAAAGTTGGTCTCTCAGATTTGTATAAATAAAATATTGTATTCATTTTAGGGGTGAAACGATACACCTCCTTCACGGTTCGATACATATTGTATAATTTTGTCTTGGTTCGGTTATTTTCGATACGATACATTTTGATAGAAGGAAACAAATTCTACGTTGTTTTATGCTTTCTTTTTCTAAATCTAGTCACATATTTTACGAATTTTATTTGCAAATTGACTAGAAGAAATTGATTAAAATTATTTGACTGTCAAAAATTATTTTACAAGCTATCAGTCATCAAAAATTTACGTTTTCTATATTTATTTATACTGAGTAACGTGTTATACCTTATGCCACACCCGACTGAATAACGATCCCGACCGAAAAATGAACCGAACCGAAAATTTGAGATTTTGCACCGTGTATCAAACCGAGAAAAAATACCGCGGTACATCAATACCGCGGTGAACCGTTTCACTCCTAATTCATTTATAAGGACATCTTTTACTCAGAATGCAATTTATATGGTTATTTTTATTAAATGTAACCTTGAATGAAATTCAAACAATCAATTAAATAATATTGTTACGTTCCGATAGGTTTACCTGTGAAATTCGGATTAACTGTTGTTGACAAGTTCCGAATAAACGGACCCTGAACCCGATGTATATAAACTACTAAAATATTTGTCAATGAACAATGAACGAAAGAATTGAACAATGATTTATTATTTGAACTTTATCAATTTGATTTATGTATTGTAATTACAAAGCGTTATGTTGTATATGTTCTATATAGGTACAACGTTATTAAGTAATTTTAGTGGTCAAAACCCGCTAACTTACAAATTAGATATTGATCGTGACGTTATTGGTATCTGACGTTTATACGTCATCATAACAACTTTTGTCTATAAAAGACAGCTGTTTTGTGTTTAGAAGTCAGTCTGCATTGGGTTGCGACTCCGTATACTTCGGGTGTAAGACAGTGGTATGTACAAACAGTACCAAGTCTATGTATACGAAATCATTAGTGAAGAGTCATTCAGAGTAGAAACGTCCTGGATTGACCATTGGTTCGTCATCTTTGTATTAACCAAATAACGTTGTACCAACCAAGTTTATCATTGTGCTTATAATTGAACCATTTGATCGTCTTAATAAATATCATAAACTTTACAACGTGTTATTCGTCACGGTTCTAGTGCAGATATTATAGTGAACTAAAAATTGGTCATTATTCCGATTGTATATAAACTTTGTGGATAACCATTTCAACCTTGACCAGTTAACAGTAACCAACAGCGGCCCACGATTAACTGATTAAGTAATAACCTTATACCCTCGGTTTCGTTACAATATATTAAATGCTGCCAATTTCATTTTGATAATCATAAGTAACTTTGGTTGGATTTAGCAACACTAGTTACTAGTACTCACCTATATAAGCCTGTTAGGCCTTTTTTATGTGCTATCAGCCCTCATTCTAAGGTAATTAGTATATATGTTGGTATATTGGTATAAGTGAGAAAAGAAACTGGAGTGGTTTTGGAAAATTAGCATTACACAATATGTTCTAATGCTATATAGAAATAAATGTGTATGTCTCTACCTTACACATCACATGGCTATGCATTTTAACTGGTAATCAGAATGGAATAGGAATTTGCATGATAGAATATATGTCAGGGTGGTCAGTCTGGTATATATATAACAGTAATATTTTGCAAATTGTTTTGAATGTTTTAAAATGAATAGCAGTTCTCCTTACTGTAAACCAACTGTAGTTACTGGTGAATTGTCAGGTTCAGAGACACACAAGTCAGTGTAGAGATAGATTTTATGGTAGCCTTATAGAAAAATGAAAATATTGAGTAATTGAAGATTAAAAGTTGGTTTGCAGTGAGGTATAATAATTGAATTACAACTTATAATATTTAAATTCTTATAATCATAGCACAGTATTTCAAGTACTGCAGATTATTTTAAATTTTTCACATTGTATTTATTTTTAGTATAGAATATATCATATTATTTAAAACATCACTGATAAAATTGCTTGTTCTCTATTCCTGCATTTCTCTTGCTGTGCAAAGTGTTTAGTTTTTAAAATTTTATGCTGAACTTTGAACTTTGCTTTCTCACCTTTGACTCTTCTCTACTGCATGCACGATTTTCAGACTTCAGAAGCCAGCAAACCCAGGCGAAAATCTTCCATTCAGAATGATTACCTGTTGAACGTATGTTTTCTCAGCTTGTCCACACCAAGCTTTTGCATTACTACTGTGTAGCATCTAACTGTTCTCTGTCATTTTACAAGCAGCCATGATTATATAAATACATGTATAAAAAAAAGTTATTAAGCATAAATCAGTAACAGTATTATTTTTCTCTTTTTTTCGATACTTTATAATTTCTTAGTTCAACAAGATGACAGTTTATTTAGTGATTATGTTGACAATACTGCAAAAGCAACTAAATTAGTACATTGAATGCTGAAATACATGTACTAATGTATAGTGTATTACTTTTCAGAAAAAAAGTATTCATCTAATGTACATTAATTTAATTTAGATAGTTACCTAGCCCTAGATGAAATAGGACTTCATGAATAGATAGTTTTTGTATGACATGTTTTCCGTTTGAGTTACTCACTTTGGCCACCATGTTTGGAGCTGGGCAACCTGGTGAACTTCTTTGATTTACCAAATAAAAAAGTATTTGGCAGGAATATATGGGAAAAAATCTTTACAATGTGAAAATTATGAATTATAGAAAGCATTCAGAAAAAAATATATTCTTCAGAAAAACAGTGCCATTCATTTTGTAATGCACAAATTTGATTGTATGTCAAATACAATTACAAAATTTTACACCTTGGAAAAAATATGTTCTATTTCAAACTTTTCAGAGACTTTTACAAATTAGATTTATGTACTGTACCAAAAAAGAGCACCATAATTAATCTATGCATATGAGATTAGTATTAAAATTTCACTGTATTTCAAGATTTTTTCCAGTAGCATTCACTTATTCCTGTTATTTCAAGATTTACTGCTTGTTAGAATTTTGCAATTCATAAACCTTATTTTAAGAGAAAAAGAATGTAAAATTCCAATAAATTATTAAAATACAATACAAAGTTATTAACATCAAGATACATGAACCACATGCTTTTGTCAGTTGTCTTTTAGGAATGTGGTGGAATGGTCTGTAGATATGAAGGTTCCCAGTGTGGATAGTGTTAGGGTTGGAAATAAAGTGTATTGCAGCTGACATAGCTTTACAGAGTTACTAGTACTCACTTGTATAAGTCTGTGAGTCCTGATGTGCTATCAGGCCTCATTCTAACATTATAGTATATATACATTGGTACAATAGAATACTTTGCTTCAAGTCTGTACTTGTGCATTTGTACAAAATTACAGGTGAAAATGGAAGCTGTACTGGAGTTTGGGAAAGTTAACACAATACATGTTCTCATATGTCAAAATAATTATGTGTCTACCTAGCATATTGCACATCTCACATTGCTATGCACTATAATTGTATTGGTAAATGAGAATGGTGTATGATTTTGCATGATAGAATATATGTCATGTTTGGTATATACATGATTGGTACACACAGAATATTTCAAATTAAAAGTTTTTGAATGCTAAAAAAGTTAGACATCCTTCTCACTGGTAACCAATGTGATATGGTTGTAATTTTTTAATTTGCAGAACACAAACAAGGGGTTTTCAAAAAGTCTGTGCACTGGGGCCATTAAATTTAAACTGTTTAAGGGACATCATTGATTTTTAAAAATATTTATTCAACATCATCTCTTCTGTATACAGAATAGACTATAAGACATAGGGTTTAACTTTGAATATATTGTCTTTTTTTTTTTGTAAGCATGTAGCAGAACCTCAAAATATGATATATTTCTATCGTGGGTCGAATTTTGATATAAGCATATGTTGCCTAATTTTCACTCATGTAATTTTGACACAGTTTTTCATAAAATTTACATTTTTTACCTTATTTTGTCAGGTATAATTTGAGCTCTTACAGAGAGTGATCATAAAAAAAGATGCTGGAATGGGGCAGGGGTGTTTATCTACTTGTTGTAATTTATAGTTTCACATCAGAAAAACTCACAGAGACTTAGAAAATGTTTAAACAGGCTGGAGAGAGAAAAAATAAGTCCAGACTATTATTAAACTTTTTTTTTAAAGAGAGGGGAGAGACACAATGCGGATTTGCAGTCCAGATATCCAAAGATAGTCACATCAAAAAGCAATATTGTTTGTGTGAGGTAGAAAAATGGATTAAGCTCACAATGTCAAGTGAGGATCTTTATCTTTTGTGTAGATGCATGATTGATGATATTGTGCATGAAATCAGCAGTTCATGAAATGTTTAAGATGGGTTTCAATAAGTGTCACTAAGGTATTTTGTCAAGAAGCAGAGGAAGCCGACTGACAGTGACAAACAACAAAACTAAACAGCAACAGTGCCAGGGAATCAAAAATGACTGTATAATTTTTTTTTTTTTTTTTTTTTTTTTTTTTTGTAAAATGATTAATTGCCAAATTATCAATGCATCAAGCTAAAATTTTCAACACTTATACCTTTGTTATTTTATGCACCCATTTTGAATCAAAGCCTAGTACCAGTACCTTAATTTTATGACTTTGGTCCACAGACATTTTGATAACCCCTTGTACATCAGTGCAGAGATACATGTATCTTTTATTATGGCTTTCAAAAAAAAAAAAATGAAAATAATTGAGCAATTCAAGTTTAAAGTTGGTTTGCAGTGAAGTTTAATAGTTGAGTTAGAATTTAGAACTTACTTATACACTAAACTAATTTTATGATCACAAATCTTCATAGATTAATATCAAATGTTACATTTGAGAGTTGCCAGTATACAAAATCAGCTGCTACATAATAAGGATTTGTATTTGTGTCCGATTGGGTTTGTATCTTTATGTAAAAACATTTTGCAGGAAAAGATTCGACAAGTCTTTAACAGTCTGATACAGCTAGATCACCCAAATATTGTCAAATTCCACAAGTACTGGACTGATACCAAAGAGGGGCGACCAAGGGTGAGTGTCAAATTAACTTATTCTTGATTTCTAATTTTAGACCATGTAAATGTATGTTTACATGTATCATTTGCTATTTTGCCATTTTTAGCTCTTAGACTACCATAAACTGAGAACAGACTTAAGTCAAAATTTCAAAGCAATATAACTTTTGAAATAATTTTGGTAATGAAACAAAATTTTCATCATATATTAGAATTTAAATGTTATATAAAACTGCAAAATTTTAAGCAATTACATGAAATAATTCTCAAGATATTAAAAATCAAAATTTTGACTTAAGTCTATTCTCAGTTTATGGTCTTGGGGCCAGAAGAACTTATGCATTTATTTACCGGTAATAACTTATAGGTGTCCATTGTCTGTACATATGTGGACTATACTAAGATATACAATTCTAATTATCGATTTTTAGTACTTAAGTCACCGGTATATGGTGACGTCTTTATCTGAGTAAAAAATTCTTGAATTGGATGTAACAACTTACAATCAATCAATCTTTCTCTTAAATACACACCAGTAGAACTACAGTCTCATCAGAGACTTCTGTTTTATTTGAAATACATTCAAACCTGTATTAAGCAAACTATCAAGAGAAATGCTTAAATGGTCACATATGTCAGGTAGTCACTTAAAGCAGGGAATTATATTCTAGCAATTTTCGAAGTACATAAATAAATATTAAATAAAAAAAAAAAGCTTGGAGTGACATTCAATGGAACTTTCACAGAATACTACAATTAACGCATTTTGCCATTATACACATACTGGAGTGGGGGTATCATTATGTGAGATCAGAGCTCACAGTTTCTTCTGATGTTGATGCAATATTTTCTTCACTCCTTTCCAGGTTATATTCATCACAGAGTATATGTCATCTGGTTCCCTGAAACAGTTCTTAAAGAGAACAAAGAAGAACAACAAAACATTCCAGCTTAAGGTCAGTTCAATTAAGACAGACAATGTACAACTCTTGTATTTATAGATTTAATGTTAATTTTACCATGTTTACAATGTAGCGAGAATTCAGTGCAATCCACATCCAAACCCTTGTATGGAGACAATGCCAAATTATGATGGGTTTTATTTTATGATAATATGTATTTACCTTGAAATATGTGAAGATTACGAACAGCATTCGAGCTCAAAAGTTCATTAACCATGATAAAATGGGAGCAGAGCAAACACAGACCTCAAAGACATCAGAGGTGAGATCAGGTGCCATGGAGGAGTGAGCATCCCCTGCCGACCGGTCACCCCCGCCGTGTGCACACCATCCTGTGATTGATACAAAAAATGAGAAAGACATTTGAACAATTTGGAGGAAATATTTTTATGTATACAGTAAAACACGCTTATAACGAAGTGCCAGGGACAGATGATTTTGATTCGTAATAAATGTAAATTGTTATATCCGTTAGTATCAAAATACAGTTTGAAGTCACAGGGAATTAAAATCACCGTTGTAAGCATCAATTCATTATAAGCGTGTTTGCTATAAGCGTGTTTTACTGTAATGTATTTTTTTTACCAGGCGTGGAAGAGATGGTGTACACAGATCTTATCAGCTCTCAGGTAATCTGCACATTAAATGAAGCATTATGAAAAAATGTAATAAATTCAAAATTTTAATTTAAAATAAGAGTATGGAATGAATGATAGGACTTTTTCTTTAATAGCTTCTTTTGCTAAAAAAAAAAAAAATCATGCATTAGACAATATCATGCTTGACCTGCTGTCATTAACCCATCTTTAAGCTCACTTCAAATGGGGTGGGGGAGTTTTTGTAATGCATCTTGTATGTTTTATTGTACCATTCAGGCTTAGATGCTGCATTTTCATCCAATATTTTCCATAAGAATGACCAGGTTAATGTTTTTTGGAGCAATGTGTTTCATTGTACCAGTCAAGGTTTCAGATGCTGCAATTTCAGCTAAAGAATGACAGGTTAATGTTTTTGGAGGAGGTTAAAGTTTTTGGAGCAGGTTAAAGTTTTTGGAGCAGGTCTCATTCTCAAGTAACTATAAGCCCTATGTTGACCAAACTTGCATGGATGATACAGAAGAAGGATATACAATACTGGACTTGCTTCAGATGCTGGATCTGACCTACATTTTCCGTATGAGTGACCAGGTTAAAGTGTTTGGAGCAGATCCCATTTTCAAGTAACTATAAGCCCTATGTTGACCAAACTTGCATGGATGATACAGAAGAAGGATATACAATACTGGACTTGCTTCAGATGCTGGATCTGACCTACATTTTCCAGATGAGTGACCAGGTTAAAGTTTTTGGAGCAGATCTCATTTCCAAGTAACTATAAGGCCTATCTGAACCAGTCTTGTATGGATGATGCATCAAGGGACTTTGCCTTACATAAAGACAACATTCGTTGAGTTGAGCTCTGTAATCTCTGATTACCTATGTTTTTTTAAGAGGTTCCTTCCCAGATTCATATATGACTAGAAGTCCCATGCTGACCAAACTTGCATGGATGATGCATCTAGGGATGCACACTACCAAACTTGATTTAGGTGCTGAATCTTACATACATTTTTCAGATGATTGAGCAGAAAAATGGTTTAGAGCAAGTTAATAAAACTCTTACCCAGACCAAACATGAAAAAATTTTGCATCTATGGATGCACACTACCAAAACATTTGTTTGGTATGAGACTTTGCCTCACTTAAAGACAATACTCATTGAGATGAGCTCTGTAATCTTTGATTACCTATGTTTTCACTGTTCTATAGGATCCATTTTCAAAAAGCTTTAAAATTTCATCAATCTTACTTACAGTTACCTACATTCCTGTGAGATTATACATGGCAATTTGACCTGTGATACAATTTTTATACAACACAATGGGCTCATCAAAATAGGTTCCGGTAAGTATGTGCTCAATTCATTGCCTGTTTTCAAGTGAGGTATGTCTAGGCACATTTTTCTCTCTGGCCTAATGATGTTCGTTAGTCTATTGGAACTATTATTCACTGGAATAATATCCATTATGGCTAAATTTATCTTTGTAAAATGGAGAAAACTCTCCTAATTAAAATAAGCTAACACAACACTACCCTATCCAAAGCAATTTTATTTTTATACCCCCGCTCCGAAGGAGAGGGGGGTATACTGTTTTACCCTTGTGTGTCTGTCTCTCCATCTGTCTGTGTGTCTGTCCGTAACAAATTTTGGTCACAGTTTTCTCAGCAAATACTCATCGCAGATGCTTGAAATTTTAGCACAATCTTTGTTTAGGCATGCCATATGTTGGGATTCATTTTTGTACAAATCCGATATCAACTTCCTGTTAATCCATGCATCTGTCCATACCATACGTAACAAATTTTGGTCGCAGTTTTCTCAGCAACTTCTCATCGCAGATGCTTGAAATTTTAGCACACTCTTTGTTTAGGCATGCCATATGGTGGGATTCATTTTTGTACGAATCCGATGTCAACTTCCTGTTTATCGGTGTGTCTGTCCGTACCATACACTATACATAACAAATTTTGGTCACAGTTTTCTCAGCAACTACTCATCGCAGATTCTTGAAATTTTAGCACACTCTTTGTTTAGGCATGCCATATGGTGGGAACCATTTTTGTATGAATCCTATGTCAACTTCCTGTTTATTCGTGTGTCTGTCCATACCATACATAACAAATTTTGGTCGCAGTTTTCTCAACAACTACTCATCGCAGATGCTTGAAATTTTAGCACACTCTCTGTTTAGGCATGCGATATGGTGGGATTCATTTTTGTACGAATCTGATGTCAACTTCCTCTTTATTGATGCGTCTGTCCGTACCATACACTATACATAACAAATTTTGGTCACAGTTTTCTCAGCAACTACTCATCGCAGATTCTTTAAATTTTAGCACACTCTTTGTTTAGGCATGCCATATGGTGGAATTCATTTTTGTATGAATCCGATGTCAACTTCCTGTTTATTCGTTTGTCTGTCCATACCATACATAACATTTTGGTCGCAGTTTTCTCAGCAACTACTCGTCACAGATGCTTGAAATTCATTTTTGTAAAGATCCAATGTCCACTTCCTGATTATCACTGTGTCTGTCCATAACTGAACTTGTATATTCACATCAGAGCGGGGGTATTATTAGTGAGCATTGGCTCACAGACTTCTTGTTTGTATTTGTATTTATTTAGTTTACCTGCATTTAACACTGATGTGAGGTTATCTGATCACACTTTTATAGTTATCTGTCTTTATGGATTCTGATAACTATTGACATTTTAGATTTTTCACAAGAGACATTAGTCTATTCTAATTTTAACAGGATTAACTTTCTACATAGCATCTTTTTGAGAAAATTATTTTTTTTAAAAAAAAAACAAAGGGCTACATTCCTTTTCAAAAGGGTCAAGGCTGAGGCCACAGATTGGGGGATGGGAGGATTGGGCAGAATTTTTGTATTGTCATTTTCAAGTACATTAGCCTCTTTAAGTATTCTTCTGAAGAACAACATAACAAGTCTGTGATTATCAAGTTAACATACCATACAGTAGTTAAACATCACCATTGTTTTGAATAGACCTGCACATGTTCTGATAATAAGATATTCTGACAAATGAAAGTACAGATGTTGTGATATTTCTGTAAGTTGAAATTTTTTAAATCAACAGTTTTTTTAAAAAAAATTTTATTTTCTTGATAAAGGATTGGTTTTTGATTAAAATGTCAGTATTAACTACATGACAGAGGTGAGCATTGTGTTGATAATTTTTTTTTCCTTTTAATACTACTATGTGTAGGTGACCTTGGACTTCCAAAGGAATATGGTACAGTTAATACAAATTTCCATTCAGAAATATAAAGTAAATGATCAGTATACATTTCATGTGTAAATTATGCACACGTTTCAAGCTTAGGCCATTCCAAGTTTTTTCTCTGTTTAGCGTCCACCCATCTTTCAAAAACCCACCTACCTGTTCGCAAAAGACACAAAAGCCAAAAAATAAAACACAGACTTTGTAGTGTTAAAAATGATGTCATTCAAAGCATTTGATTTCATAAATCTATTTTTCTCCTAGAAAGATCTACTCTTTAGCAAAGTAAACGTATTGAATGCTTAAAATATACCTAATATGACATATTGTAGACAAATACTTAGAGATATTGACAGAATTAACAGATTTTGACCAGAATAATCAATTTCAGGACTCCTGATTTTGTTTGTTTTTTCTGATATGGGTGTCAAAAACCAAGGCGCAAGAGGATGCTAAACATAGAAAAAACTTGGAATGGCCTTATTATAAATTGTCATGTACAAAACTGATTTAGTTATCTTTGTTTGAATTATCTGAAATAGAGAATATTGACATCATACTACATGTATATGTACAAGCAGTTTTTAAACATTTATAATTGATTTAACAATTGTAAAAATTTTAAATACCTTATATTCATTGTACATGAAACAGAAGAAAGATTCTCTTTATCTTATTTTTGAGAAGTTTGAGCAATAAATTTTGTTTTTTTAAACTTTTTTCTTTCTAATTGATTGTTTGAAATGCATCATAAAATTTTGAAATTAGTTTCAAAGGTTTTTAATTTTGCCATCACATTGTAGGGATGGTATGTTTATAGCTTTTTAGGTCACCTGAGCCAGCTCAAGTGAGCTATTCTGATAAAAAATTTTCCATTGTTTGTCGTTTGTGTCATAGTAAAGTTTTCACACTTTCATCTTCTTTTCCATAACCAATGAGCCAATATCCCCCCCCCCCTTCATCCCCCCAAAAACATACAGAATTGATTTTGTTCATATTAATTTTTTCTTCTCAAAAACCACTGGGCCAGAAAAGAGGAAACATGTGAAAGGTTCCTGAAATAGTGTAGATTCAAATTTTTTCAAACCATGGCTCCCAAGGGTAGGATGGGGCATAAAGGTTTACATAGAAATATTTAGGAAAAAATCTGTAAAAATCTTTTTCCTGAGAGCAGCAGGGTCATGCCTTGTCATATTTATGTGCATGCATCCATGTTTAGTGATATTGAACACTGTAAACTCATGTTTTATGCCTTCTCTAATAAAGCAGATTGCCAGCCCCACAAAATTGGACACATATTCAAGTTATTCATTTTATTCTTATGGTCCTTAACAAATCTAATCATTATTTAAACGTGGTCTTTGAATTTTGTTGACACAAAATTGATTGTCTCACCAATATTGGAGTGACTGCATGCCAAACTAATATTGATCAAGTGTAAAATAGAATGTTTTTGTTATCCATAGAGAATAACACATACCCTTTTCCATATCACATATTGCTATGTCTTCAATTGGTCCAAATACAATACATCTAATATCACTCTTGATTAGATAGCTGCTCACCTCCCACCCCCACCCTTCCCTTTAAATAACTTTTTGCAAATTATCACCAATGTTACTAATAATGTTATTATCTGTTGGAGAGACCAGAAAATACTATTTATTTCCATTGTAAATTAAATGAAATTGATCATATTAATGAGGGAAGATGAATTTTGGTGTAACTCAAATGAGAGCTGCAATCCATTTTCCTCTTGTCCCCTACTTGTGAAACTGGAGTCTGTCGGTCTGCCCCACTTGGTTTTCTGCACTTTTTTCCTAAACACTTGCAGATATTGAGCTGAATAAGTGTACCTTGAGTTACAGGATTAAGTTTTGTTCCGCTTCAATGATTTATGACAGAATTAATTTTTTAGGAGGAACTTGCCAGTAGTATTACTTATGCAATACTCTCAGAAGCTTGTTTATTGGGCTGATGAACATGTTGATTTGACTAATTGATCAGATGAATTGGAAAATCGAAGATCATTACATGGCTGTAAAGGTTAATTATATGGGTAGTTTGTTAAATTTTAACTTGTCAATTTCAGTGGCTCCTGATGCCATGCACATTGTGAAAACATACAGAAAAGACATCAAAAACATGCATTGTGTGGCTCCTGAATATGAAGGTAAGTAACTGAGTTATTTGAAATAAAAACTGGAGTTACTGAATATTTGAAAATATATACAGTTAGAACTACCATGATAGCAACCCACCATATAAAACAGCTTATTGTTGGGTGTGACCGTAAAATTCCCTTGCAAGGCAGTAACCTATATGTTGTACCTTTATGTCTGACACATTTTTGAAACCATTTTTAGTGATTTCATGCAATTTTACCTTGATTTAGCTACTACATATTTCAAATTCCTACTTGCAACTTTAGTCGAGCATGTAAACTTTTTTGGTTCAAACAGCTAGATGACAGTCACTTAGTAGACAGTCAGTTAAATAGTTTAGATAAGTTTTTAGTAATTAGTAAATAATTTTATGTGTCACCAAATGCCAAAAAACATGATACAGTTTTAATTCTGAATACAGTGCAGAACATACAAAGTTTATACATCATGTAAAACTATTTTTCTACATGTATTATGAAAAATCTTTATAGCAATTTTATTAGTGATAAAAGAATCTCACTATTTCAGATGCTCAATACTCAACATAAATCTAACTGAGTCTTGTGCTTATCAAGGGTGCATTCTAACGAACATACTGAATGTACCCCAAAAATATGAAACTAATTTAGAGTTAATCAATACTTATAATCAGACATATGTACAGTAAAACATGCTTATAATGAATTGATGCTTACAGCAAAGTGATTCTTATTCCCCGTGGCTTTAAAATATATTGTAAACTGAATGGATATAACAAAGAATGTTTATATTAAAGCAAAAGTGTCCATCCCTGAGCTTTTCTGATCACCCATTGTTCTGCATTCAAAATTGTTCAAATCATGGCCCCAGGGGTAGGGTGGGGCCACAATAGAGGGGAACAAAGTTTTACATTGAAATATATAGGGGAAAATCTTTTTAAAATCACTTCTTTCTCAAGAACTACTGGACCAGAAAAGATGAAACTTGTATGAAATCTTCCTAATATAATCTTGATAATGTAGATTCTAAATTGTTCATATCAAGACCCTTAGAGTTATGGTGGGGCCACAGTAGGGGATCAAAATTTTACATGGGACTACATGAGAAAAAAAAATTGAAAATCTTCTCAAGAATCGCAATAGAACCCATTATTTTGCAAACATTCCAAAGTTGTGTGGATTCATTTTTTTTTTTAAGTTATGGATCCTGTGTTAGAGTTAGCTTAAATCAGGATCAAATTTAATATAGTGCATGTGTATAGGAAAAAAATTTCTTCACCATAACTTCAAGCCCATGTTGGTCATTTTGAAACATCCCCATATTGTGTGGATTCACACAAAGACCTTTTAGACCATGATATGGGGTCATAGTTTTCCATGGGAATATTAAAGTCTGAAGAGGAGCAGCAAGACTAAAGTTACGCAGATGAGCATTATGGCCCATGGGCCTCTTGTTTCTTATCTCTGTTGGAAAGTCTGACTCATTGATCAAAGTTTTATATGGAGTGTAAGAAAATATTTTAAAAGTTACTGTCAAGGGTAGCAGGTCCACATTAAATTGATCAATAAATTTAATATCATTAGGCAAATTTTAATTTCATTTGCTGTTGCTGAATGATAAATTGTAACAGTGTTGTTTATGAGAGAATAAGAAAATATTGTTATGTAAATGAATTAGGACAATCATAAATTGGCACACTAGAGTTTTAACAATGACATGTATTACCAGTAGTTTTAAATTAGCGGACAAAAAGCAGCATGAAAGGTGCTAAAATTTGATAATCGCTAAAATAAGTGTGTTTACAGTACATGTATCAAACAGAGAAGTCTTCTCTTTGAAATGTTTAGGAAGAAAAAAATTTTCTTATTATACAAAATTACATATATAAAGGCAGCAGAGGCTAATTTACAAGATATCCTTTCAGATCCATCTAGATGCACAACTGCCATAGATATCTACTCATTTGGAATGTGTGCTTTGGAGGTAATTATCGTTTTTAATTATTTGTATTAGATCTTTACTTTATGGTTATTTGGTTCATTTTTCCTTGTATTGATTAATGTGAGGACATTCATAGATTGCAGCACTAGGTTTCCAGGGCAATGGAGGAGAAGGTGGTACTAATCATGTCACTGAAGAGGCCATAGAAAAAACACTAGCCTCGCTGGAAAATCCTCTTCAAAAGGTATTAATAGTAGCTAAACCAGAAAAATGTCATAAAAAGTAAGCTCTCCAGAAATAATGCTTTGCTGGGGAACCTAAAGAAATCATGGAAAAATACACTGGGTTTTATTTGAAATCCCTTTAGATATACAAAAGGTACATGTCCATTGGTAGAACAAACACTATGATTAAAATGCAAGAAATTAGAAGATTAAAAATCTAAATCATTTAGAAAAAGAAGATTAAAGTTTTCCACAAACATTTGAAATGTTTGTTCTTTCTGATACATACATGAATAAAAGCTGGAACCAGCAATTCTATATGGAAATTGAACGACCTATTTTCCTGTAGGATTTCATATCCAAGTGCATACAGAAGGACCCTAAGAAACGGCCCCAGGCCAGGGAGCTTCTGTTCCATGAAATTCTCTTTGAAGTCCACTCGCTGCTACTCTTAGCTGCACATGCTATTGTACATTCATGTAAGTATTTTTTTTTTGATGTTGTTGAATATGTAACTGCACATGTACATGTATTTGTGAAATGCATACATCTGAAAATAGTGGATGCACATATCATTGTGCTTTGATATAAGTACCTCTTACTATTTGCAGTACATGCTACTGTGCTTTGATATAAGTACTTCTTACTCTTTGCAGTACACGCTATTGTACACGTCTAGATTGGGGGGAAAATCATTAATTTTGTAACAGAAGCACATTTTATCAGTTGTAGTCTGACATTGTTTTTTTTAAGTTTAATTTTTATAGTCTGTTCACTGTAGAAAGTACTTTAATTTAAAGTGCTTTGTTTATTTAGTAAATATATTTGAATTGCATTTGTAATTTCCTTGCAATTGGTAAATGACATTATGTTAAATTGTTAACATGATAGAGGTATATGGTACAAAAATATAATAATATAAATGATATTGAAATTTCTCCTCTACTTTTCTCTTTCCAGCAATTTTACCAGAAAATTTAACAGACCAAGCCAACAAGTACAAGCTTGAACCCAATCAAGTGATTGCAGAGATTACACACCCTGATGGCAGAGAAGGGGTGGTATGGAGGTAAACAGTTATAATGTTTGGGCAGATATAAGTAGATGCTTAGATACCTGGTATTACAAAATTTACCATTAAAAATTACATATTTATTAGATTAATGAATTACCTACAAGTCACTAATTGATGTTAACTGAAATGTATTTTATTAATCAGTTCTTTTAGTGCTGCACTTAATGTGTTGACATGTACTTTGTTCATGCTTTTAAAAACAAAATTTCAAATATGATAGAATTTTTTATAAACAAATTTCATAAGGCCATCTTAAAATGATTGTTTGTTTGCCCTTTCCTGACCGACTGGCTAAAAATGGCCCAACTCAAACTATTTTAAACCTTTAGGAAATAATAATTTTTTCAATTCATTCTGGAATTTTCTCATCCTGTCAACAACTATTTTAATTTTATAAATACCTTCAATTTTAAAAGATTCTGAAAATTCAGAATTGATGTTGAAATTTTCTGTGAAAAAAAATTTCCCACCTACCTACCAACCCAATTTTTTTTATCCTGAGTTGGGAAAGGGCAAACATTATTTTAAAGATAGCCTAATCATGTTCTTTATTGTGTTTTAAATATATTTCTTTTCCTTCGCAGAGTGTCCAAGTGTCCTCCAATGGAACGGGAAAAATTATTAGAAGATGTCAGGTTATTGCATTTTCACTTCTTCTGTAATAGAAATCCTTGATTTGCAAATAATTGAATTCTGATTTATTATATGCCCAACTGTGAATCACTCAATTTTACTGTTGGGTTAACTCGATCACATAATGGTTGTTTTTGATTTTCTGGATCACACACTGTGATTTTCTAAATCCATTTCACAACTCTCTGAAACTGATTTCTCCAAGAAAAATTCAAGTATAGATGTAATATTTTTATCACTCAGAAATGGCATCTTTCCTCTGACTGCCTTTAATGTGCCCACACCCCCTCCCAAACCAAGGGCCAAAACTCCAGAAGTGGAGGAGCTGTCTAAGTCAGAGATCCCTGAACCGGTGGATGTGGAGAATCGCCTCGTCATGCAGTCCACTTGTTCAGTGAAGAAAACAGATGAACAAGGCACATACAACCTTACACTACAGTTGAAAATGGATGACAAAATGAACAGGCAGTTAACAGCAGAGGTCAATGATGAGGACACGCCAGAGAATTTGGCTCAGGAGCTGGTGCATTATGGCTTCATTAATCAGGTGTGTGTGTATCTTTACTGCAAAGTTTGGACAGTATATGGTGATTTACCATGCACCCAGTGTACAGTGTATATAATGATGTTTTAGTGGCAAAGAGTATCCTTGGGTTAAGGGGATTCTTGTTTGTTTAAATTAAGAGAAGATCGTTAAGAGTTAATGAAAATTTAATGATATTTTTTCAAAAATCAAGAACTTAAGAACCACTTGGCCAGAAAAGATGAAACTTATGCAAAAGCTTCATTACATAGTATAGATTTTAGCTTACTCAAATCATGACCTCGGGGGTTAGGGTGAGGCCACAATGGTCAATCAATGTATAGGAAAAAAAATCTGCTGATGAGGAACAGCAGAGCCATAGAGAATCAGGAGAGCATTGTGGCCCATGGGCCTCTTGTTTGTTTTTATTTCATAATCCAGAAAATATGTTATTTACTTTCATTTGTATCTATAGGTACATACACCTGCTTTTAGGTATTTTAGTACTGTGAAATTACATACATGTATTTTCGTGGGGTCGATTTTTTGTGGTTTTAGGAAAAAATCTGGGTTTGTGGGGATTTGATTTTGTGGATGAAGAATTGTTGAGTATTAATATATGTAAAAAAAAATTACATTTCGTGGTTGATATAAATGTATGGGTCTTTTCATTTCTCGAAACAACAAAAATTAAACCCCCACGAAATTTATGATTTCCCAGTAATAGGAGCAGTTCTCATTACTGTGTCAAAAAACTTTACTCCACCGTGGAAATTGTTTCCATTATGACCGGAGTAAATGCACTGTATTGTAAATATTATTGTACAGTTTTGCTCATTTGTAGATGAAATACCCATTTCAAAGAGAATTTTGTATTGCAGTTGCACTGCATACAGGAGAAAAATGTGATGTTGTGTCAAATTCAGTGTTATTGTCTAGGCAGGAAAATTTAGATTTTCTGAACCATGTCAGCAATGCTCAAAATTATTTGGGTGTTGATAAAAGCAAAAATAAACAGAAGTAACCTGTGTCAATGCATTAAGAGAATTTCAATTCTTGAAACTGTTTTATTTTTATTTTTCAGAGAGACCGTGATAGTATAACAAAACTAATTGAAGATTCCATTCGCCCCTCTATGTTAGAAAATGGTATACTAGAAAATGTTGCCACAGCTTGATGTCTTCTGTTGAGTTGGGATAATGTGATAGTAAAGGGGCCACTCCAAACTATAAAAAACCAGTGTGGCTAAGATAACTTGCCTACACCTGCCTTTTCATATTGGGAAAAGCCTGTGGGAGGAAGAACAGTTTCAGGAAGTTGTGGAGAAACATGATCCTTTCAATCCTTGTACTTCAGAGTCGGTTGATAAATGTGATGCCAATGATTAGGAGATTTTTTGTTGCCTTATATTAAGGTACACAGTACATGGTGCTGTCTCCAGAGAATTCCTGTCAAATTTTAATAGCTCAAAGCTAAGGACACTTGTTGACCTACTCTTTTGTTCCTAATTAGAAAGAGGATATTTTAAAAGATTATTTTCAAAGTTTTGAACAGTAACTTGTAGTAAACCTTTTTATATGGAGTATGAAATGAGTGAGACATATTTGAATTTAATTTTGGCATTTATGTAAACTAACTTTGTCAAGTTGGCAGGTTAAATACAGATATTGAATTGAAATGCACAAAGAATGCAAGTCTTAAAGAGGGACTTTTCATTTCAGTTGTGAAATATTGAATGTTTTTCTTTTATCAACACCATGGTGTATAAATAGTTTGTATACATGTATATACATTTGTATATAATTATGCTTCATTTAAGATTCTTTGATTGCATTTTTTGTTACAGTGAACAAAGTTTATTGAATGAAAAGAACTGAAGGGGAAAAAAACAAATTTTAAATGCTCTATTATATTAAGTTTTTGCCTTCACGATATATTGGCCAAAGTGCATTGAAAACAATTTTGCTTCAGTCATTTTAGTAATTGGATGATTTAAAGCAGAGATTCATATTTCTCCTCTGAATTTGAGGGCAAAAAAGTGAACTGAAAAGAGGATACAACTAGTTCTCATTTTGAATTGCTAATATATGTTTATGGAATCATTTTAATATGAAATTAACATATAGTTTTCAATATTTCATTTTTATCTTTTGTATATATAAGGAATTGCATTTGTGCCATAATTCCAAGTTAAAGGGCATTAAAACAAATTTAACAACAAGTTATATATTGAATTACACTTAGAAAGGTATGTGTATTTAATCACTCATTAAAATCAATGCTCTGCATACTGTCAAGAATTCTTAAATTTGTAGATTATGAAAGTTAAATTTCAACAAAATTTTTTGTACAAGACATTTTGTGTAATACTTGACAGTTTAACTTTATTCAAATATAATTGTATGCAGCATAATGGATAACTGAACTGGTATACAAACACATTTGATTAAAATTTGTAAATACACCTGTCTTGAAGATGGTCTTCAATGTTTTATTATTACAGCCTACATGTTTATCCTCTTTCTGCCTTGAGATATTGTTTTATTTTGCCATTGTTTATTTATTTATGATTTCTCTCAAATTAAAACCTTGTTTACCGGTGGAAAAGAATTAGTACAGTTATCAATTTATCATACAATTTGAATATTTTTGTGAAATTTTTTGAAACGGATCAAACATGTACATTTATGTAGTCTACAGTGACCTTTCCCATTTTTTCCCCTTATTTTAGCTCACCTTGATGAAGTTGAGATGAGCTTATGCTACTGGTGTTGTCACCAGTGTCGGCATTGACATCCCGGTTAAAGTTATTTTTGAGCAGATCCGTTAAGTTTTTAGAGCAGACCCATTCTCAATAGACTAAGCTTTGTTGTGACTATACTTGCATGGATGATGAGTATAGGGATGCACAATACCAAACTTGTTTTGGATGCAGAATTTGACCTACATTTTATGGATTAGTGTTTTTGAGCAGATCAATTCCCAAGTAAATGTAACCCTATGGTCACCAATCTTTATGGATGATGGTTCTAATCTAGGGATGCATAGTACCAGACTTGCTTCAGAGGCAGTATTTGACCTATATGTTCAGGATGAGTTACCAGGAAAAAGTTTTGAAGCAGGTCCATTTCAAGGTAAATATATTAGTCTACATTTACCAAACTTCCATAGATGATACAACTTGGGATGCACATCACCAGAATTGCTTTGGATGCATCATCTGACCTACATTTTCAGGATGATTGAACAGTTGAAGTTTTAAGGTCCATTCCCAAGTAACTTTAAACCCTACCAAGACCAAACTTGCATTGATGTTGCATCTAGGGGTGCACACTGCTGGAACATCCTCTGGTGGACTTTTCTTTACTTAATATAGATGATGTCTGTCGAGAGGAACTTTGTAATTTTGATAACCTATGTTTCTGAAATGTAATGAAATCAAATTGACTCCTTGCTAATATAGTTAACTTGTGCTCTTATACCCTCTCTGACACTTAAAATAGAGGTACTCTGTACAACTTATTATATAATAGACGTTCTTTGTATAACTCATAATGTATGTACAGTTACCTTGTGGGTGTATTTTTAGATTTGCAAATTGGGGTCAGTGATTAAACACAGATATAATTATATGTATATTATTTTTGTTTTAATGTGGCCACTTGTAAATATATACTGTGAATAACTTATAAACTCTGTGCTACATGAATGTTCCTGGACATAGCTTTAAATTAAAATTATTTGCTTCAGTTTTGAGAAAAAGTATTTGTTCTGAAATATTTTTTTTATCAAATTAGAAAATTAACACTGGTCATTTAAGTTTTACAATAAGATTGTCATTTCAGATTTACAATAAGAATGCCACATTTTGTTTTGTTATGGTTTGTTATTACATGTGCAATGATTTACAAATATTTTTACATTTAATTTGAACTGCATTAAAATATTGAGTTTCTCGATATTTCTTTTTTTTTATGTGTTACTCTGTGAATTGATGTGAAGCCAATATGACTCCCTTGTTAATGTTTGACCTAAAGAGTGTCCCTGATGTGCAGTGACTTTGAACCAGAATTCTAAGTCAGAGTTGAAGGTCAAAAAATGGGGTGGGTTTTTTTTTGTGTGTGCAGAATCCTTGTATGGACATATATTTTCTGTCCTTTGGTAAGTTTATCTCATGCATCACAGACGATTCAATTGTCTAGGTCAAACGTCATGGTCAAAACCAATCTCTGTGAAATTCTTGTCCAGAGCTTATTTCTATTTGTTTGGGATACAAATCAAAAGTCAAGATCGAAACAGATTGAAGAATACTTGGGGGTGTATTTATTTTAAGCTAAGTGATAACATAACAATATCAGAACATCTTGAAATACGTGTGCATTAGGTAGTGATAGCACAAAAATATCGGAACATCTCGAAATATGTGTGCATTGGGTAGTTTTAACGTGAAGAATTTGATGTACAATATTTTACAGATTCGCAGATTATTTTTGACATGTGGGACGTATTGAACTGGAAAAGAAATGTATGAAAATTAAAAAAATCTTCACAAAATATCGATTACTAGTATACCCCCCCCCCCCTCCCAAAATGTCCCGAGACAAGATAAATCTTAGTGGGATAAATGACTTATGTTTCTAAAAATTGTCACATAAAAAGGCAATTTCCGTGGAATTTTGCCCCACAAGGTATGCTGAAATTGTGTGTCTTTCAATTTAGATTTCTTTCGGCGTTAAGGACTCTTTAACAATAAACACTGAAGAGTTCCTAATCCATGGTACTGTAGAGTGATCTGCCCTTTGATTTAAATTCTACAGTGTAATACAGTTTTTAATCAATTCAAGTATTCTTAACATTGTATAAGACCAAGATAAACTTAGTAGAATACTTTATTTGAGTGTATTTTCCCACATACATTGTAATAGTAAGCAACAGTGGTATCTGTTCAATTCATTAGTGTCCTTCAACATCGAAGACTGACAGATACCCTTTGTTGAAAATGAAATATATCAATTTAATATTTTCATCTTTATGCAATATAATTTTCTCACAGTCCAAAAAATATTTCTGATAAGTGTATAGAAGACTCTTGAAGTAAAGTTTTTTATACGAGTGAACAGAGGGACAATGGACTTATTTGCACCATGCAAAAACACCATGCAGCTCAACATCAGGGTTGGCGCATGCATTTAGAGCACAGTGACAAACCGAAATTTAATATGTGTTTTCATGCAAATTAACAGTCCTCTTGAATTCGATTAATTATATATGGTGAGGCCATTGTGCATGGTTAAAACGGAATATGAAAGAAAAGTCTTAACACCTGTTTCGAAGTGTAGGAGTATTTAAAGGTATTTTAACACATATGTATTAAAATATAATGTATGTATGTATATGTAGTGTCTTTGTTGCGAGTTTAAAAAACGTAAACATTCTGAGGTTTCTTATGTACAGCTGTGTTGTGGCGTCTATCGGATACTGAAATCCTACAATTATTATTTACCTTTTGTCTAATGGGATACTTATCTGTTTGATCAATTAATATCAGAACAAATCTTAATAGATTATGATAATACTTACTGAAAATAGTCCATGCCTCTTTTCAAAATTTAAATGTCTAAGAGAATTTCGTGTCATCAAAACAATAAGATTTACTTGACGTTTGGTTAAGTTGAATAGTTCCCCCGTGCTTTTCATACCGCCCAATGCCAAGGCATATATATGCATTTCAAATACAGCTTAATCGTCCGTATAACTCCCCTGTCAAGCAAATTTGTACACACTTTTAAATTTTTTTTTTTATAGGTCTAAATATGATAATAGACAGAGCACAAAAGACAAATCCCATCAAGTAAAAGTTGTTTTATTACACACAGGGAGGTGGTCCGAAACTATTCTTTCGTGCAATGGTGGAAATCTTAGTGTGCATTTCCTCTTCGCGCTTGCAATAGATATGATCTCTTGGAATCAGACGACAGTTTTTCCAGCAACTACCACAGAAGCTTACGATCATGAGGGGGCCATGAAATTTATCATCAGCACCATCCTGGTGTATTCTCTCCTTGGAATCGTGTCAATGATGGTCAGTCGTCTGCGGAAAAAATCTAACACTTATCGTCGTCAGTTGGATGATGACGTTCAACATTTTATCAAAACAGGAAAAACACTTCGAGAATCTTTTCGCAGACAGCAGCTAATTTTTCGTCGAAACACTTTTGTTAAAATGATCAAAACCAACGAAACTATCGACGAACTTGGTTTAAGAATGGAGGAAGAAGATTATAATGGCGACGAAGGAAACAAGAAAACTGACGAGAATAGACCTAAAGTCACGTTTCATATTGAAAATGAGACCGAAAGAGAAATGGAACCGTTGGAACTAAAAGAATTGCCTTTAAAGACATTCACTGATTCATCTTGCCAAACAGACGATGAGACATCCTCATAAAAATTATCCTTTGCTTGCTAACCCTATTAATCAATGGTAAGCTCTTGCATGATCTTGCTGCATAATATATCTCGATTATGTGTATATATTGTGCTTTTAAGTATAAGTGATAATTATTTTTCTGTATAGAAATCCATTAATTGTGGGGTTTACCTTTAAATCTTTTTGACTGGTTTTCAATTTGCTATGAAAAAAAGAAAAATCCTTTGCAAACTATTCTTGAAAACTTTTCTTCTGACTAATAGTCCAAATAAAAGGGAGTTTTATGGAACAATTTTAGTAATCGTTTGGTAGAGGGATGATGTTTTTCATGTCAATTTTTAAAACCTAAGTTAATATGCAATGCAATGAAACGGATGCTTTGTGTGTTTTAGCAAACAGCACTGACCCGAAAGTCCAGGAGTATGATGCTCATGGCGCCATGTTGTTCGTGGTGGCCACGGTTCTAGTGTATGCTGGTGCCGTTGTCGCCTTCATTGCAGGACATATAAAGAAGACAAGACTCAACAGTGAAGAAGAGGTCCAACTCTACAGATATCTGCGAAATTCCCAGTTCAAAATCCAGAAGAGGATTCGAAGCAACGAAGTTGTGCAAACACGTATGCAACTTCTGCGAGCCTTCCAAGAGAATTCTGGATGTGGAAACAGGCGGGAAAGAGGCAGGGCTCATGTCCATTCTACTAATATGGAGGACAAAACTTAGTGGGAACATTGAAGGACTCATTACATTACGTTCAATCAGAACAATTTCATGGGAGCATTAAAGATTCAGAATGTGAATGTGCAAGTGACAATTCGTATAAGAGGGTATAATCCACGTGTGTGTAAAATTAACCGTATTTACCAGTGTTCTAGTGATCCCATACATTCTAGCTTTGTCTGTTTGTGAGGAAGTTGTTTTTATGTGAGTCTGTGATCCTTATCGCCGCGCATTGGATTTCAAAACCCTTTCAAATGACATAATACACACATACATTCATTCCTGTCAACAATTTTACAGTCTGTACAATAAAAATGTTTAAATTGAATGCTTTTTATTTCCGATGGAGCTAGTTTGAATGTAAACTTTGTAGTCACATAAGTCTTTTCAGCAGGAAATTAGAGAATCTACTCTATATAATGCCAACAAAAAAAATCTTTCAAAAATACATAAAGATTGAACTAGTATTGCATAGTTTTCCTCAAAATGACCGATTCGAAGAAGATTATTTAGTTTAATATAACATGTACATATACAACATTTAAGAAATATTAGGCAGTGATAGCTCTCGAGATGCATTGAGTGGGGGATTTAAATAGGTGACTGAGTTTTCTTTTATAAGTAAAAAAATCCAAATTGTTCTCGTAAATATTTGTGCATCAGCCGTTGGAGAGTTGGAGGTTGTAATCATCACTTACTTGCTGAATAAAAAAGAATGTTGAAATTTTCTGCAGGCACGTAGACTCGGGGGAAGGGGGGGGGGGGCTTGACCCTCCACTTTTTGGAAAAATCATCATCGGTAATGCAGCTGTATATACATGTACATACTACAACAGAACAGCATAATTGTAAAAAAAAAAATAACTAGATTCAAAGTATTTACCTGTATGTACCTGGTACCTAAAATCTAATCAATTGATTGCGAAATAAAGCTGTCGACAAATGAGTTGATGCAAGGGACACAAGGATATGAACATTCTCGTTGAAAGTTATTATTTCGCAAATTCTATTATCGCTACAATGACCGTGATAGCAAATACAATCTATCGTTAGGTCGAATGTTGACAAATGATTTTCATTCAAATTATATTCACACTGAATGGTACCGTCACGGTAGCTCAGTCGGTAGAGGGATTGCTCCGTGATCGGAAGGTCGTGGGTTCAAACCCTGACCGCGACTGACCGAAGACGATTTAAAAAAAAAATAGGTAGCAAATGTTCCTTCGCCAAGCTCTCGGCAACTTTGAAGTGAAAGTTGCGGGTCTTTCGTATAAAACCTTAAAAACTGAGATCCCGTGACACGGCAAGCGTTGGCACGATAAAGATCCTTCATTGGTCAATGACCTTGAGTGCCGAAGAAAGGTCTATCTTTGAAGTCATTCACCGGTACATCACGACTTCTCTATATGAGTGAAAAATTCTCGAACGAGACGTTGAACAATATCAATCAATTAATCACACTGAATTGTCTATGGATTATCCCGTTTACCCGATCATGACAAGGGGCACAAAGTGGGTGTGACCGGTTGACAGAGGATGCTTACACCTCCATGACACCTGATCCGACCTCTATGTTTTTAGAGGTCAGTGTTTGCTCTGCTTCCATTTTGTATTGGAACAATACAAATACAATATGGACTTTTGAGCTTGATTACTGTTCGTTATCTTCATATTTTATCTCTAAAATTCATATCAATGCATAGCTTTGATTTACCTACACCTCTCAAGGACATCTAATAAGCGATTTCCTAGAAGAAGTTGGTTTGAATTCTACTTCTAGAAATCCAACTTATACACCCAGTTCACTTTCT